ATATATATATATATATATATATATATATATATATATATATATTTCCGGACGCATATATATTAGCGGATTTTAATAATTTTCTATTGATTACATGTGTTTTATATGCGGTGAAATTATAGTGTCAGTTATCCACGTGACAATCAATGTGTTAAGTTTCTGAAATAGTAATAATAAGTTCTTTTTTTTACCGCCAGATTATCAATTAGATATTATGTACACGAAACATTAAATAATAGACGTTTCTCATGTCACGCATAAACGACGATTGGATGGCAATCGTAGAGTCACTCTAAACTCTTGACTAACTATAGATTGAATATAAACATTTTTTAAATTAGATATACATATTTATATCGGATTATAAGTAAAAAATATAACTATAAAGTTCATCGCGTATATTTTTTTTTAATTTTTTATTTTTTTGCTGCACGTAATGTATAAAAGTAAATGAAAAATTTGGAAAATTTGATTTCTTTTAACTCATACAATAATACAAGAAATTTTTATTTTTCGACGCGTCAATACCGGCGTTTATGTTTTCATTGATTTAGTTTAATTTTATCTTTGATTAATTATCTATGAGATTAACTTCTGTAATCATTTTTTTTCCTTTGTAATATACAAATTTGATATTTTAGACTTTTGCGGTGTCTATGCATATTAGATTTATTTTCCGGATTTGAGCCGCGTAGATTCTTCTTTGTTTGACTTCAAAATGTGTGGGTTACAGTTAATTATAACTCACACACATACTTTGGAATCAAACAAAGAAGAATCCACGCGGTTCAAACCCGACAAACAAATTTAATAATATACAAATTAGCAAGCAATTGTATATGATTATTATTTATTTTGCAGCTGAGTAACAATGTTACCTATTTTGAAAGAGAATTCAGAGAATCGTCCGCTCGTTGCTGATTCGAATAAAGGGACTGATTCATCGGAAATACTAGATCTATCGTGTAAATCCACGGCACAATTGCCCGAGCGATTGCTCGAGCGATTGCCCGAGCAATTGCCTGAACAATTGCCCGAGCAATTATCCGATCTTAGAAATTTACGGAAATTGTGTCCCATCTTGAATCAGGCATCGGTCATTTCACAATTGAAACAACAATCAAGTATTGATACAACAACCAATACTGCACCCACGCCGATGAATCCTTCCATGGAAATCGATACAACAAAATTTACTGAGAATCGGAGATCATCGCAGAAGAGGAAGAAGCGGTCCGACAGCGATGGTCAAATTAACTATTACCAAATTAACAATCTTCAGATAAACAGCCAAGTTAATAACGACCAACTCAACAACAGTCAGATCAATTGCAATCAGATGAATGTTGATAAAATTCAGTATAAACCATTCATGAACGATATCGACACGAATTATATCAACGTCAATCAGACTACTGTTAAGGATATCAGCAGCGATAGTCACAGCGATATTAACAGCCACAAAAACAGCCTGGCATCAATCGGACAGTCAATATCGCACGAACACTCGATATCGATGGCAAATTCCATGAATGTGCAATGTTTACCGACGAATATCTCCTCCGTGCCAAATCCATTGCCGTTGTGTGTGCCAATGTCGATGCAGGAGATAGAGAAGTCGACAATATTAACATCGATTACAAAAGCATCGAGACCGTTCAAAGTTTATCCGAGAGATCCTCTAATTCTAAGCACAGGCGACAAGGACACTTCCGATGCGTACAATACGTTTCGAGAAAAAGTGCTCAATAATGTCAAAAACATAGAAAAAGGAAGTACGAATAGTAAAATGCGCAGGACTTCCAATTCAACCGGTTCACATATGAACAATGTTGACGATGATGAAAAAAATCGCGCCTATTTGGAGAAAAGAAAAAAGAACAATGAAGCAGCGAAACGTTCTAGAGACGCCCGACGAGCCAAAGAAGACGAACTTGCCATTAGAACAGCTTTTCTTGAATACGAGAATCTAACGCTTAAGCAAACACTAAATATGTTTATGAAACAATTGCAGGAACAAAATGTCAAATTTGATTTTAAACCGGTCATTTTAGACACGAACGAAAATGCTCCAGCTGCAGACACAGTAAATATGTCAAGCTAATTGGAAGTTAATTATAGTTTCATTTGGTGATACATATGTAGTCAAATCCTCTATATAGTATATACTCATATACTTGTATCAATATCTCACATACCTAATTAAATATCAAAATATCAGTTCAAGTCCAAGTTTAGATTTTTACAGTTTACTATTCACAGTTTACAGTTAGTTATTAAATTAGCTATTAACTTTAATGTTGAACATTTCTTAAAACTAGCAGCTGAACGTGAGTTTTTCTTACGTAACATAGTCGTAACATTTTTATTAAAAATTTTGCATTTTTAATTTAATATAACTTATACAATTATTAAAATTTATCATATTTTATTAAAATATATATAATGAATGTACTTTACATAAAAATGTCTTTTGTCATGATTTAGCAATCGACTGTTTTGATAAATAGTATATTTTTTAGATGTATACATATCTTTATCCATTAAATAAAAGTCAAGGTACTTTGTCAATTAAATAAAAGTCAAGGTACTTTGTCAATTAAGTAAAAGTCAAGGTACTTTGTCAATTAAATAAAAAACAGAACTTTTAGACAAATATTAATGTATCAATTAGGTAACGAATCTGCCAGTTCCATCATATTGTTTGACTCGAGAATATTCCGCTCATTACTCTGATTATTTGTAAGTGCCTTTGAAAAGGATTTCTGTACTTGTCTAGGTACAAATGCTAATGATGATGTAAATTTCGTTCCAGTATCAGTTGATGGAATGGCAGTATTTACACAAATTTTATTGGTAGCAATTTTTGCAAACATCTTGTTTTTCTGATTTTTATTTAAGATTACCTTAGTCTTCTGGCTTTTACTAATGTCATCAATTTCCATTTTATCTGATTCTTCTTCCTTGTTATAAAGCAAAGTGTTATCAAATCGATATTTCTTTGGAAATTTGTGTATTTGAATGCAATGTTCTTTCCTTTCCGCTGGGTTATTGAATTTTATGTTACATTCGGAATCATAGCATTGATACTAAAATAAATATAAGCATTGATATTAAAATAAATATAATTATATTAAGTATACATGTTTAAGTATATAATTATATATAAGTATTATAAGTATTATTATATTACCATAGCTTGTTTCTCCGATAAGACTTTAAAGAAAGCATCGTGTAACTCTTGAATATGGATTTCTAATAGTCGTGGATTTGGTCTAGATATTTTACACTCTGTACAAATATACCGATGAGAAGTATTGTAATGTATTTCATAATCAAGTAGTGTTTGAAAAGTACTTTTGCATCCTGAGACATTACAAATAAATTCTTTAATGCTGAAATATAATGTTGTTTTTTATATACCCATATGAAACTAATTCTTTTTTTTATGTAAATATATTAACAAAGTGAATATTTAGTAATTTTCATTTTCTCGTTACTTTACAATGTTTTTTAGAAATCGTATATAACTTCGCAAGCAACAATTGTAGAATGTATATTTGCACGACTATCATATGGAAACAAATACATTTCTAGGTTATGCCGAGGCTTTCTGAAAGCATTGTTCAAACTCACACTTCGTGACATAATTCTTCATCGTCGTCCACCGTAACCCCTTTTCTCTGGAAAACTTTACAGATCTTGTAAGAGTCCTCAAAAAAGGGATCATTCACAGGTCGAACTCCAACCCCCAATTGTCTCAGAACTTCCTCCATAATTAGAACTTTATTAAATATTGTCCAAGTAATTCGTGCGTTTTCTATAAGAATTTAATACAAATACATTTACTTTTTTAGCACGCTAGTATCAATGTGTATATTATCGTATTTAATCATAAATTATAACGAATAAACTTGACGTTAACCTCAAAGTACGTGACATACGATACGTTACTATAACAACTACTGGTGACATCTATAGGCTACGTTCCGAAATTCACTGCCAGTACTGAAAATCTATAGATCATGTTACGTATACTATAGAATTTCAGTACTGGCAGTGAATTTCGGAACGCAGCCATAATGTCATGGTTCAAACATATGATCTGCTCTTTGTAGCTGCAGTGCTGAATTGGTGCAAGAAGTTAGAGTGAGACAAGTATATTTTTCTCACTCTAACTTATTATACCAGTTCAGTAGTGCAGCGACAAAAAACAGATGTATGAATTGAGACAGGTTCTTAACGCTGATTGGTTGATGCACTAGAGTCGATTGTAATCAATGGCTGCGTTCAGCAGAGAAAGCTGCTTTACACTGTTGTAAAATTCGTGAATCTGATTGGTACATGCTCTTGGATTTAACCAAAATTAAGAGCATACTCCAATCAGATTCACGAATTTTATACAGTTGCAAAGCAGCTTTCTTTGCTGAACGCAGCCAATTACCGGGTGCATCGATACATTACACGTCAATACATCTATCGAGAATCGAAATTTCAAGTTGCAACAGTAATGGCGATTGCAGTACGAATAAGGTACTCGTCTGTGTACGTTAGTATGATAACGACGTAGTCTACGGCATGTTCTTTGTAGCAGCACTACTGAACTGGTGCAATAGATTGAAGTGAAAAAAGTATATTTTCTCACTCTAATTTACTGCACTGGTTCAGCAGTGCAGCTAGGCCTACAGTTTCGGAGTATGAATAGCACGCATTAACGTTTGATTTACAGCCATAATGACTTGTTTGAAGAAGGGCTACGGTCATCTCGACGAAAACCATTGATGAGGATTATCGACGAGGACCATCTTCCCTGTCTGCACAGATGTGGCAAGAACGTTACAAGCACGTCGTTACGACGTTACTACGTTGTAGTGACGTGCTCACTACATCCGGTGCTGTCAGGATAGTTTACACAAGGACGAGGCGAGTTTGCGGTACCTGCAGAATAGTAAATCGATACAATGTTGTATCCTTGTTTGATTCGAAATTATTGGCATCATTTTGCTATCACGTCACGACTCGCATATTAGATTCTTTCTAATTATTTCATTATCACATGAGCAAAATATTATGTCTGCAAAAAAAATTATTTTACGTGATTATGATGACAGATATAAGAATATAATGTAACAGACATTTCTGATATTATTTATTATTCTCTAAATGGTAATAAAAATTTTGCAGACGGTGCAAGATTGTTAAATTATATTTCTTTCGCGTGCAAGTGATGCTGATTGGTTAATACACTGAAATCGATTATGACCAACTACCGACGCATCGATATATCGGTACATCCGTCGAGAATCGAAATTTGAACTTGCAACAGTAATGGCGGAACACGGTACGAATAAGTTGCGTTCAGCGGTACAGTCCGTAAAAATTACTCAAGAATACATGTATACGTTTGCGAATAAAAGTCGCACAAGCGTGTTCGTCACAGATAGCGAGCTAATCCACACGGCGTTGTTATTGTTTACATTCTCGGGCATAGTGAAACTTGTTCAAATCTGTGGTGTCGTTTCGCATTCGCTTGTGTACGTTTATATGACAAAAGTGCAGTATAGTATCGGAACATGAATAACGAAATAACACATTCACGTTTGATTCACAGAGACTTGTTCGAAGAAAGGCTTACGATCATCTCGACGAAGACCATTGACAAGAATTATCGACGAAGGTTGTCAATTTGGACAAGGACGAGGCGAGTTTGCGGTACCTGCAAAATGGTGAGTCGATACGATGTTCTGCCTTTATTTGATTATCCTTATTTGATCGCATAATAATTATGCGAGAATATGTGTATACGTTTATGAATGAAAGTCACAGAGGCGTCGTAAATAGCGCGTCGCTAATTCACGCGATATTGTTTACGTTCTCGGGCATGGTAAAACTCGTCCAAACCGGTGACGTCGTTTTACACTCGCCTATGTACATCCGTACAACAAAGACGGTGTCGTAACATCGGAGTATTAATAACGAAATAACACATTCACGGTTGATTTGCAGTGACAATGACTTGTTCGAAGAAAGATTATGATCGTTTCGACGAAGACGAAAATCACTGATGAGGGTCATCATCACGGAAATTATCGACGAGAACCGTCTAGTTTGGACAGACGAGGCGAGTTTGCGGAGTCTGCAGAATTGTGAGTCAGTACGATGTTTTGTTCTTATTTAATTTGGAATTACTCGCTCCATTTTGTTATCACATCACGACTTCGAGCATGTTACAGTTTTTCTAATCATTTTATTACTACGTAAGCAAAGAATTATATTTGTAAAACATTCTTTTACATACATTCTTTACATATGACAGATATAAAAATACAATGAAGCAGACATTCCTGATTTTGTCTATTATTCTCAATAACAATACATATTTTACGGATGGTGTAGAATTAAGGTAACCCAATAATGAGTCGAATCACAATTTCAAGTTATTAATATATTAATATATTAATTTATTAATATATTAAAAAAGAACTCATTACGATTAAAACATGGACAAAATATTCTTATATTATTTAGTTCTTTTTCAAAATTTTTTTCACACAAACATTGTTAATATTAACACAAAATCTAGAATATCATTTGGTTTAGCGACTGTTTCAATCTATAGAACTATTAACAGATTGTGCCACGTATGTATTATACACACACACACACACACACACACACACACACACACACACACACACATAACCATATAAATACGGACCTTACTAATATAAAATTAAATATCATATAATCTGTTATTGCGATGCGAAATATTTGCTAACACATAATTGGGATGTACTTACAAACGTTTCTATTTATTTTTCCGTAAATTTAAAATAAATGATAAATTAATTTGAAATCTAATTATTTTGCTATAATATTTGTCACTTATATCAGTATTAAAAGTTCCTCTTAATGTTTGGTCGACAAATCTATATAAATGAACGAAAGTTACTTTAACCTTAAATGATCTATAATTAGGATCGTTGCCTTATTACATTTTTCTTTTTTTGTTGTCTGCCAGTGATTCCGGATTATATGATAATGTAACGTGAAATGATCAAATGAATTGATAAAGAGAGTTCTGATATATATTAACTACGATAAAATCAGTAGAATACAGTTTTATTTCTTTACGAAACAAAATAGAGTATAATAACAAGTAACATAAAAGATAATGCGCCGTCGATGGCTAGAAAATCATACAAATAATTGATAAAAATATATAGATTTGAAATATTCGACTTATTCGACCAATAATCGCGTCTTCAGGTTTTCCAATATTTCAGCCATCCTGTTCTCTAATTCGCTTCTTTTTTGTATTTCCTCTCTTTTTTCCTGCAACATACGTACAAATGCTGAAAGCAATTTGGGCATATATTAACATATTAAGAATAACGTAGAATAATTTTTGGCTAAAAAATCTAATTTCTCACGGAAAGATATCTTGAGAAAAAGATTTCAGAAAAAGAAATTTTATTATTCAATTATAAGAACACAGTTTATTCAGTCAATTTCTGATATCGAATAACTTTCTTATCAAAGATTATTTTTTATTTTTTTAAATGAAGTTTTACCTCGCGCGTATATTTGTTACTTATTTAATATAATTATTACTTTTCAGTCTGTATCTTATAATAGTAATAATTTATTAAGGTGAACTACACATTTATAGATTGTTCTCCTTATTCTATATCGTTATTCTTACACGTCTATATATATTACTTTTATAATAAAACGCGAACTTTGTTAAGATTGAAATTTAAATATAAATATTGACACTTCGTGTTAGCAACGGGTGAACTACATGAGAAAGAACGTGATGATATTTTCCATATGTTATTACGAGATATGTTTCATTAATAACACACTCAAATATTAACAACATCTCGGCGCGAGACGCTGCATTTAATTAGACCTTTTCTTGTTTTAATGATATGTCGTCATTAAATATTGCGTGTAAATTCCACGTAATGAATTGGTCCGTTGGGTCTTGTCTGTCTCTGCTCCGACACTTTCAAGGTCGCCACTCTGTTCCTGTATTCTCTAACTACGGCTTTCTCTGTATCATTTTCCGGTTCATCGGTGTGTTTCACTATGCTTTCGTCGTGGTGATAAGCAGCCGGTTCCGGTGCGACGAACACGTGCGGCTCCTTCGTATTTTTGCCGTTCTCCTCGGCGACTTTCGACGCCGCGTTGTCGCTTTCCCCGTCAAGACTGTAATCGTTCTTACTAAAGCCGAAGAAGTCATGCGCGCTCTGAGGATCATGAAAAGATTTGCTCTTTGAGATCGAACGATTTCTTCGAGAATGTCGTGATGGAGTCTTTGCCTTTCTATCTTTTTGACGTTGGTCTTCCGTCCGCAAACTCTTCCGTCTTCTCGATGGGAGTGGATAATGTTGTCTTTCCAAAGGGACGTTTCGCACATTTTGATTCGAAGACGCGATGTTCTGCAACTGTGCAAGAGTCGGCGGAAGTTGATTGACCACCCTGTCACTTCGTGGTTGTGATGAATATATCCTGTTGGACCAGTTCTCTGTATTAGAAATCTGATTTCTCGCGTCGACGTTAGGCAATTTGCGGGATTCGGAGGCATATCCTCTAAAAGCGTATCTATAAGGATTGGAAACGTCAGCTGTAGCTTGTTGAGGTTGATAGTAATAGTCGCGAGAACCCTTCGTGGAGCTACCATTATAATTATATTCAGTAGGATTAGGATTCACTTGGGTGGACTGTTGATCAGCGTTCTGCCGAGAGACGTAGAGCTGCGAATGCGTGCCTTCGGCGTTCAAGTGATGTTCTTGATTTTGCGGATTAACAGCCTCCTTGGGGAAATAATAGACATTGTTAGGGTATCGGTATGGATGCACAGGATTACCGACAACCACCAGGTAGCCGGCAGGTTGGTTCGAGGAGTTGTCATTATTCGCGTCATTATCGGCAATGTTCGTTATGATATTTTGATAATAATTTAAGGGGTAGTTCTGTGGATTCGCCGACACGATAGTGTTCGTTCGCTCTGTGTTGTCGAAGGCGTAGTCGAAAGGCGGCGGCCACAGCTGAAACTCCTTGTACTCGCCCTCGTGCAATTGTCTTGGTCTTTCGGGCAAGCTCGCGATCTGCAGCGTTGGCTTCTCCTTGGTTGTGAGATCGACATTGTCCGCAGTGGGCACCTGACTGTTATTCGACTTCTTTTCCGACTTCTTATACTTCAGTTGCCGCGTACTCGCTTGCTCCACTCGGTCGCTCCCGTCGATGTAGCGTATAGGCACAATCAGAGGTGTGTACTTGACGAGATCGAGCTCTTTCTGTGAATTGGCTTCCTCAGACTCGCGCTGAAGTTGATTTTTGCTCGACCCGCTCGTCGTCTTCGCACGAACATCTTCTTTGCCATGAACACTTCCCGCTTTGGGTTTCTTCGATTTCGCCGCGTTACGATTTTGATCTCTCTCGTTCTGCCTACCGTTTCTGTTCGCCTCGTCCTCGTCGTTTATTTCGTACTCTTCGTATTTGCTCTCTGGAACGGGCAAAGCGTATTCTTCTCGTAGCTTTTGTATTCTCTTCAAGTGTTCGTCGTAAATGTTCGCGGTGGAAATCTCCTTTCTCTTGTCCTCTTGCGACGCGTCTTCGGGATTTCGTTGATAATCGAGCTCGTCCACGTATGGATGCTTGAACATGCTGAAGTAACCGGAAAGTCTGTCGTCCTCCAGCTTCTTATTGTTCAACACTTCGCCGTAGCTGTCACGGATCTGTTCCGGATTACTCTCGTGGAAGTAATCGCCGATCGGTAATTGTTGATTGTACACCACTTCAATATACTTCTCTAAATTTACCGGTGGTGGTTGGTCGTCGTCTTGCTTGTACTCGCCGGACTGTTTGCTAGGTTCGTCGTTGTCGTCGTAATCCGGGTAACGTTCGGTCTTCTCTCTCTCGTCCTCTTCTGTCGGCCGTTCCGAGGACTCATTGGAGCGATTCGCCTGATCCGTGCGTTCCTCATATCTTTCCGCGGACACTTCGTCCTCCTTGTCCTCGTACGCGGGTCTTTTCTCCTCTGATGCGGAGTAATCATGCTTGGAAGCATGATTTTGATTTCGATTAGCGATCTCTTCCTCTCGATTCCTGTGTCTCTCGTTGATCTCGTCCACTTGCTCGTAGTCGTCCCGGTCGCGATTTCTTTGCGCCTCCTCCTCCTTTATCCTCGCGACGTGTTCTTCCTGTTTGCGTTGCACTTCGTTGTATCTCTCTTCGTTGTCCTGCTGCTTGCTCAAGGTCGGCTCGTCCACGTATAGATGGTGAGTGTACTTGCTCACCGGCTTCATCACGTCCTTCTCATTGTGGATCTCCTTGTTCTCCACCATGTATCGTTCGATGTTCCCATTGTTTCTGTACACCATCTCTTGTTCTTTCCGAATCGGCAATCCGAGTTGTTGTTGAAGTTGCGTTTTCGGAGGCACTTCCTCGCTGGGTTCGCTCGTGATTGTAACTAGCGAAGCGGGATATGATAGTTTTAAATTTTCGGTAGGCGTTGTTGTGATCGGTAAGAGATCAGGTGCGATCGGCAACGGGATTTTCACGAAGAACGGTGTCAAAAGAGGCGTTTTGGTCGGCAAGTTCAATCTCGGATCTATCGAGAGACTCACGATCGGTTTCGGCATCGACGTGGCGGGTTGCGAGGTCGTCATCGTCATAGGTCTCGTGTTATTGCTGCGACCGTGAAATATCTGCTCATAACGTTGAAGATGCCCTACGATGTCCGAGTTGTTGCCGAAGTTCACCACTCCGGTGAACCTGATGGTCTCTTGTCTCGGCGCGGTGGCATTGGTCGACATGGGTCGCGAAGACGCGATTAGTTGTTTCGTTACGTTGCCCATCTCGGTGAAGTTCGACATCGCAGCTGATGCTGTCATGTTCGGGTTGGCCAATGACGCGAACTGAATTGGCGTCGCCGTGAATCCGAAAATCTGGGCCAGACCCGATAACAGAAGACCCAGAGCTCTCTTGTCGCGAAACTTGCCCGCGTCTGGTTCGTTGCCTCCATCGTTTTCCCGCGTAAGATCTCTCAGGTCTTTGTTTTGTATCGAGGTTCTCTTACCGAATTCGGTCATTTCCTCCGACAGAACTTTGGATGCGCGCACGACGCACAGTAAGCACAAGATTAATATTCGCGTTTGCGATCTCATTTTGAAAGACGTCTATTCGATACTCGACAATCACAAGCCGCACATTGGGTCAGAGTATATGTCAGATCGTATAATTAAGGCACTGCACTTTTACTTTTGGCTTAGATAATCAGGCAGTCAACGCGCTTTTTTTGAAGTTAGTTTCTTCATTCGCGGAACTTAACATATCGTTTGTCTCTTGTATGGTAATTTGTGTTTCACGTTGCAAATCGCATGCTGCGTTATATCAGTTCGATATCCTAATTACGATATTTACGCATGAGAAATTATCAGACAGACAATTTAAAAAGTTCCACCGTGGCAGTTATTATATTATCGATGCGCGTTGTAAGATAAAGTCAGCGAGTCGCACGGAACCTTCGCGACTGAGAACTGCACGAGGACTGCCGGCCAATTGCGGCGTAGACGTCGTTAAACAATGACTTAACTGGCGGGGATAAATTTTTGCATAATATCGGAAAGAAATGTCGAGTTTCTCTTGGATTGCACGGGCTCACTTGTTGATTAGCGACAACTGAAGCGGCACGATGCAACGCGCGCGGGAATGAGCGCGAGCCACGAGACCGAATGAGTTACGGTTATTCGAAAAAGGGAGATAAAAAGTTGGACGTAGTCGTGCGACTCTGGCTGGTTAAATTCCCCCGTGGTTTAATTGCACGCGTAAAATCAATACACCTGGCGCAATCTTTCGTAATTTTCGGAAAAAGTGAGGCTATGCGGATTTCGTCGTGGTTTGCCATCGTTAACGGCAATTAGGCTTTCGTCGAAATTAAAAATGAAAGAGGCATATTGCTCAACAATAGTTGAGTTGCTATTCCAGGAACGGGTTATAGCGCGACGAATTCGTGAAGGGAAGGCATTTCCCTTTTCGTTTTTAGTTATCTATGACAAGAATGCCAATTGTTCGTATAATTATCCGTAGCAATTTTGATTGCGTGAGTGATTTATTTCGCGTATATTATTTATATCGCGTTATTTATATCAAGGCATGTCTTTATCGGAACGCGATTGCCCAAGTTTGGTTGTAACATAATCTTATACGAAACTTTCAATGTTTTATCTAGTTGCTGTATTTCGAATATAAGTGGAATGCAACGTTATTGCAAATTTATTATTTATTCTATAGCGACGATGATGTGACTTAGAAGAAGATGAGATTTTCCTCTCTCTAAATCCTTCACATCGATCCTTTGTGATCGATATGAAAGGATAAAGCATCGTGAAAACTTAAATAACTAAAATTTAAAATTGGAAAGAAAAATTGGTGAAATTACGACGAATATATCGTGGGAGATTGTATGTTTTGTTAGCTTCCCACAAGCGAGTGAAAGGAAATCCATCGATGCGTATTAAAATTAATTTATATTTAGTACTGGTACTAACCTCTTTCTCTTTTCCTCTCTCTCTCTCTCTCTCTCTCTCTCTCTCTCTCTCTCTCTCTCTCTCTCTCTTTTCTTCTTTAGAACTTTTAATTATTTAATAAATACAAAAACCGCTACACTTTTTTCATCAATAATAGGGATTCAAGATAAGGATTGTTTTCATAACGAGTTTTCTTACATGCGGGTCGACAATCTTTATAATAGCATGCGTTTACAATTTGCAGCGGGAACCGAGTTAATTAACGCTACCGTTACTTGCTCGCGAGCATAAAAGGCAACCGACGGAAAAAGTAGTGTTAACTCAGGTATATTGAAAATTTGCCTGTGCCAAACTATGCGTAACTTATGCGAATTATTCTCGTTCTGAAAGTAGCACAGAGCAACAATCAAACTTTGAAACGCAACAATCAAACGCAATTCACTCGGGAAAAGTTTCACGTAAAATTTGCTTCTGTATTAACCTCGAGTTTTCTTCTCTCTCCCCTCCTCCTTTTCTAAGTACTGTTCGCATCGATAAATGCAACATATTGAGGTTAGTTAACTTTCAACCCAAAAAAGAGGTTATCTAAAAATTAATACTTAGACTCTCGCCGAATATGTCGACATGTAACATATTATACTTGTGCATTGGCGCGAGCGATTCCATAAAAACAATTACGTGCGACCACGATCGATTGACAATAGAAAGACAGGAATTGGTGGAGTGTTGCGAAAGACTGATGATAGTAAACGTCGATTCAGGATATAGTTCGTCGTGTCCGGTGTAACCTCGTGATATACCGACATAGCCGACAGTGACGAGGACGACAACGCGTTGCGTTAGTGCGGGCATTTCCTAGCTGAGGATTTCGTAAGTGGACAGCGGTGTGCGACCTGTTCTCCGTCCAGAGAAAGTCGTTGTTTCCTAGTCCGGCAGCGACCAGACCTCTTAGGATGACAATTCGCAAGGGAGGGGTCGAATAAAAACTCGCGGCACGCATTCAGCGCGTAAGGAAGGGCTCACGATTGCGTAAGGGACGTTGGTAATATTCGCGGTATTACGTGTCTATGGATAAATTAGGAATACGTGATATGAATGATGCGACGCTGTAAACGGCATCGATAAGACAACGCCGTGACAAGGTCTCTTTGTCTCGTTAATGACATTCGATTTTTAACGACTGACTCATCGAGATGCAAAGCGCCGAGCGAAGAATTGATAATGCATTTTGTGATTAGATCATAAATGTTTGATTATAGACTAATTAGTAAATAAACAGGCATATTTAACGATTACGATGTAATTGGCGGAAAAGTGGCTGTTATTAAAGGAAGTTGATCTTTACAATATTCAGCGATATTAACTACGATGTTATACTACGATATTATATACTTTACGAAGTTAACTATTAAGGGTGAAATAAAAATGTCACGTCTATAAACATTTCTTGCAAACATTTTTATTACTGAGGTATATTATTATTAGATTACATAAAGTTAAAGAATCAAACATGATATATATTGTATGAACTAATTTTTTGTAACTAGAAGTATACAGTCTACTATTATTTGTTTTTTGTTTGTGAGCATAATAAAATATTTAATTTTATCTTGTTAGAAGTTTACGTAAAGCCAGGAAAAAAATTAATACTTATTTACAAACTAAACTCGTTTCTTCTCCAGGCGTGTCAGATTTTCATAAATTTAGCGTGCGGTATCGATCGGTTGCAAGTCACCCCCCGATTATATAAAATGATGCCGTCGAAAAAGTTTATAGACGTGACATCTCGAAAATCTCGTCCGAGAGACCGCAATTATTTTTCTGTGGCGCACGGATTATTCTTTTTCATAAGCGCTGTTTCAAATGGTCACCAATATGTTTTATTTGGTTTTTCGTTGTCGCGTGAAAGTAGAACATTTTTCCTCATTACATAATAATTAAAAGGACATTATTTTCTTTTCAACACTGTTTTTTACGTAGGCCAATTGTTTCATGCGGATTTATTTCTTGTGCATATTTGAGAATATCTTCCACGATTTGTATTTCAGCAAATAAGCTAGGCGAGAAAATATTTTAATTTTGTGTCTGTACCGCACGTCGCATATTCTCACCGCGGGGAATATGTAGGAATGGATCGCGGTCGTTATGTCGTTTGGTGATCCTTTAGATGGGAGTGGTTTCACGGAGTTGTCAGTCGGGATGCTAGTTATTCGTGCGCGCATACCATGGATCTAGAATTTACCATAATGTGGCGAACGACTTACATGGGAACCGGGTATAAAAGTAGTGTCAACCCTTTGAGCACGAATCAGTTCGAATTGTGCCACGCTTAATATGAAGCTACTGGTAAGCCGTTAAATTCGCGCACAATTGTATCGAGTCATAAAGTCAATAAATTTTCATCTTTAATTCGATCGTGCGCGAGATAATGTGTGCGTGTTTCTCGATACTATCAATTCATATTAAGTTTCAAGGCGGATAAATTAGAGAAATAAATAAGAAAAAATTTTAAGAAGATTATTGTTCGGCTGTGTTTTATATTTTCTGTTATTTTCGATTTTCAATAAATGCGTATGTTTAATTAAACACAAGTAAGATAAACACAAATTTTCGTAAAAAAATTGTTTTTGCATTAATAATAGAGTATTTTGTAAAGAATAGAATACGTAAATCAACTTGACGCACAATGGCTTTGACTAAAACTTAGTTGAATTCTAGTAATGTTATATCAAGTATCAAGCATCACTTGTTTCATTATTTGCGAGATCTCAATTCTATCCGTTATATTCGACCCACATATGGAGCAATTTAAATGATAAAACGATCGACGCGGAAGTGTCCCATGCATTCGTCCGCTGATTATGGTGATCTATATTCGCATTGTCTACGTATTGTCGACGATTGTTTTAGCTTTTGCTATCGTTGATCGTTCTGGTCTCGGGAGACGAGGCTCTCGTCGCCGAGAGAGCAGCCGAGGGTAATGACGTGTCCCCGCAAGTGAGTGCCGTTCTTCAGGCTCAACCGAGCGCCCAGGAAGTCGTAGGGGAAAAGAAACTAGGAAAGAGAAGCTATGGTTTGCTTCCCGTGGCTTACGTAGACACTTACACTCCCGTGTTGCCGTGGTAAATAGTACAGATAAATATCTTGTCAGCGGCGAATGTAAAAATGTCGAGACGGCAGTTTGGCGTCGACGTTGACTTATACGTTCGATTTCTCAGGTATCGATTCGGCGGATTAAGTAGCCACGGATTGTATGGCGGTTGGTATCCGGGCTGGCCGTTGTTGTACAACGGTTGGCACGGTGGTTGGTACAAAGGGTGGTAAATTTCGAGAATTGCAAGCGCACGATCCTCTCCTAGCTGTTGCTAGAAAGAAGAAGTACGCGGATCGTGCGTCCTGACACTCTTTTTTCATATTCTATAATCCACCAATGTCGTAGCTCACGTTATCGTGACTCGTATCGTTCATATCATTAGATAATATGTACTCGAGTAAGCGACGTGGCGAAGTACGTTTACACTTATGTTAAGCTTGCAGATTTCGCGATAATTATGAAGGTTTTATATTCATTGTGCCAAAATCGTGCACGTCGATTAATGTATCGTCGATTAATTTCATGTATCTCGTTGTGTATCGATTGTAAGAACATTGCCTTGATATCGTCTTCACAATAATAAAAAGTGGAAGTGACTTAAAATAAATGAGTGAGTAAGTGGTAGGGACAAGAGAGAGAGAGAGAGAGAGAGAGAGAGAGAGAGAGAGAGAAACAGGTCAAGTTATTTTGCGCATACCTTTAACCGTTTCTTTATATAAGTCGCCAGTATCTCCTCGCACACGGTGAGGTTCTTGTCTGTGTCCTGTGCAACAAACCAAGCGAAATCTTAGAATCGTTGGAGCACAGGATTTGTTTGACAAGGAAGCGTCAAACATTGGTCGCTAATTCTTCCGCAAAATTAGACCTTTAAGATACTCGTGAGTTCCTTGATCTTCTGTAGCCTGGCTTGCTCCTGCTCGGCCGTCCGTGCGTCACATATTCGGTGTGGACTCGGTGCGAACATTTCGAGGTACGTGGCGAAGGTGCTGAGGTGTCTTTGCGGATGCAAGTGTCACTTTAGAAGCCCATATCACTTGTCGTTCGCCGCGGTACGTGGCCTCGCGCACGAGCTACGTATGTAAGGCATGCGTGGGTTGCTTAGGAACAACGAAGCAACAAATAGCTTATCGGTTTTCCTATGGAAGCGTCGAGACGCTTGGCATTTTTGATACTTTGCGCTGCTTTGACGGATAAACATTTTGTCGTAACGCGAAAATAACAATTTTTTGTTTGTCGTTAGACCGAAATTAATTATCGTTCGTCAAATTGAGAGTCCCTACATCACCCGTAGCGAGTGTTAAAGTTCCCTTGAAGACTTATACCAGTAGGTACGTTATCCTCCGTGTTTTTGATGTTCTGCCTGAATATTTTATATTTATTTTATGTATTGACATTTTATCCATTAATTGATAGATTTTGAATAGGTAGGAGTCTACAGAATTATTTGGTAAATAAAATGTTAGATCCACTTGCTTACAGTATCTAACGCCGCATTAGTAGTTTCCTACGTTATCCTCATTGCCACTTACTTCCTCGCGTTTTCACAGAAGGCAGTCAGGAGTCATGTAAAATCGATTTCGTATCTGGCGCGACGATACGTTTGCAATACTGTCGCGGAGAATTACATTGGCCGAATAAATATTTAGATATCGTCCAATTACCGATATTGAATATTTTCGTTAGTAATTAATTTCATTTAATTGCTATGAAAATAATGTTTTCCCTGAGATACGTTACGAAAACGGACGGTCGAAACGAGTACGTTGCGCGAATTAACAATTGTGTCCGACATATTCCCGTTTTGTTGAAAACGCGAAATTAATCGTCGTGGGCTCTTATTTATCCGAAACGCCAATTTACTCTTTCAAAATATTACGAAGTCGACGAGGGGGAGCGCGTTCAACCCTCATCGCACAAGAGTCAAAGGCCAACTGGATGCGTACTTTGCGGTTCGCGTTTATTAGCCCTGGCGTGGACAGCGAGAGAAAGAGTGAAGGGCGGCAGCATCTCCCTCCGGCTGGACCAGTTTCTTTTTTGTCAATCGAAATCGACCGGAAGGAAACTCGGGAATGAGAGTCAAAGGCTAACCGGGCGCATTTTGCGGCTCGGTGTTTGTATACGTTCGAGTGGACAGTGGTCATTGTTCGGCGGGCAGCATCCCTCGCCTCAGTTGATGGACCAGTTTTATCCACTGAGTTTTGGCACGAGCCCGAGCGAGGATGAGGCCGGTATCCTGAGTAAGCCAGGGGCAGGACCTCGCCACGCGAATGAACAGGTTTCGCCGGAGGGTGAGCCGCGCCGCACAGAGTTTGTCGGGAAAAACGGATCGTGATCTATATCAGGTGGAAACTGGTCCACGATTCGGGACTCCCTTCGGCGGCAGCAGCAACCCGCGTGTCGTCCGCGTGTGATCTGACCGAGCGCGCAAAGATCAGAGATCACGCTCTCAAGAAAAGCAACGAGCTCCGAATACGAAAGTGGGAACAGGTTCCGCTGAATAAACGGGATCACGATCTTCGCGCCGCGCATTGGAAATGTAGAGCAGGTGGAATGTTTAGATCCGCGAGCGAGCGATGCGCGGAAATTTCTTGTTTACAGTGCCTTGATGCAACGGCACCGTCGGGAAATAATCGATTCGGCCGTTACGCGAACTCATTGCTTTAACTGACGTTGACGTTCCTTCGATCTATGTGATATTTTCTGACGGATAAAAATACGCTTTAACGAAATTCGCATGAGTATCTTGCATTGAGACAAGTATACCTGTTCAGACATGCGAGAACTGTAAGAAGAATACCATATAGGTCCATAATTATGATGAAATGTCAAAGCGCGTCAACTTGGATAAATTGCACGTTAAATAATCTTGTATAAAACTCGACGATGTGGTGTACACTATATATAATATGGTTTCACGCAGTCCAAAAATAATGTGTGTGCTGAATTTGGATAATTAAATAAAACTATCTAAGTTTCTCTTTCACACACACACACACACACACACAAACACACACAATGGAATCATCGCGCTGCTTCAACTGATAATATCTGCGCGAATCGTGAATAGACATTTTATAGACAATTAGCAATTTCCGATATTGGCAACATTTGAGCAAATGAGACTGCCGATGAAACCGAACCGCCAGCCTTTCGTAGTTCGCGTATTAATATAGCGCTCGTCGTCTCGCAAAAACTTGTATTCTATTTTGGAGAGTACTGTCGTCGGGCGTTAAATGAAGAATACGATAAAAGGGATTGTACTCTCCGGGCTCGCGAACAAAGAACGTGCAGCACTCAATCAAAGGGACGCGAAAACAATGGCCGCTGACGTGTGTGTCACATGAGACGTCGAAACCAGCCCACATTGGCCACTTCTTTCACCTGTCCATCATTCCCCGACCTCTAAAGAGGACGCCTCTGAAAGAGGACATTTGCGTTTCCGCGCTCGTACCAGCCATTGTACGCCTTTATCGGCCGTTTCATGCTCCTCTCTCCGCTGGCAGTTCCACTGGCGACTGTGCGTTCGGTCGTAGAGAATGCATATCTGACACGGTAGACGAAGTAATTGCACGCTATACTTTCGCTTGTGATCGTCCACGACGCTATCAAACCCGGTAGTAATCTATCCTTTATCGGCACTAATATTTTGCGGCTGAGAATATCGCGAGGCGAGCATAGTCGTTGAAAGTAAAAAGCGAAATTGCAAATCCACATTACCGGAGAAATTAATCTGTTGTACGTATCTCACTTGTCGTATATACTATTTCTGAGTTTTGCACAAAATGATTTGACGTACAATCTGTTCAAGCTAATATGATACATTTTATCGTAATTATGAATACTTACTACGCTCAATGATCTTACAGTTGCAGTTTTCGCTACATGTCTGAATGGATATATTCGTCTCAATTTAGCGTCTGAGTAGATTGAAACTATTTACTTTCGCTAAATTTGTTTTCAATTCGTGATCCGAGCAAGCATCCTTACCGTGAAACACAAGTCGTCCGTTCCAAGAATTTGAAGAACGCGCGCGAAGTGACTGATTGAATGAGAGTCGCGTCTCGCTCTCAGACTCAGGCTCGTGAGTAAACGTAAGAAAGAGTCGCGCAGGAAACTTCCGCCGTTGAGTTAATTTCAGCTTCGGCCGCGAGAACCTGTTTCCCGCAGGGCCTATGAAAAGGTCTCGCTACGTACACAGCACATTACCCCCATTCGTATCGGTAACGAGGTCGACTTTACTCCGCGACACTCTTCCCACGGTGGGGGAGTGAGGCGCGCATAGACGCGCACACGGTATTACCGGAACACCCCGTATATAGTGAGGGCGTATTTGTTTTACTGTCTTGGCTGCCGGCATTGGTTGAGAACGTGCTCTGCATTCTTGAAATCGTGCCACCCTTGTTACGGCATAGACCTCACCACCGTTGTTCCTTTCGCACCCCCTCGTCCTCCTCCTCCTCCTTCCGCCCTCGTCATCAAACCTGGCTCTTTTCCTCGTCGTCGCAGCCACCATGAGAAGGATCGTCGTTGATCCCCCGCCCCCCGCCCATCTTCCCACGCGCGATCGTAAAAAATTCTTAACTCCTGGTAGCAGTCCATAGTATTCCTCAGAATGCGCATAAGCGCATTGTACAACGTATGCTTAGCGAGACTGTACCGAGATCGAGGTATGTCAACGTGGAAGTGGTTGTCCAGCCTATTGTGAGAAGATGGCCAGTGCAAAGGTCGTAGGATAATTTACTGAAATCGAAACGTATATTTTACTTTATTTTTAAGAAGTATTTTTCTTTATTTTATAAGTATTTTACTTTATTTTTAAGAAGTAGATTCCGAGGTTGCAAAAGATCCATATTGCTCATATTGCATTATAATAATATAGTAATAATAACGTCTGTTTCGGAGAATCCCCAGGTAGGATGTAACTAGGGATAGTCTGTGCAGGATCTGTGTGATGTTGCCTTTAATAGGAGTGAAAAAGTCGTCGAAACCTCTTCATCAATCTTGCACTCTTTGCAGCTGTCAGGGTCAATGCGGAAACCAGAAGACTCGTCTTCTCCCTTTTCTTTGGGAAACTGTAAAAATTGTTAATCCCTGCAATGGACATAAAGTGCTTTTGCGACGGCTGCTAGATATACTTCTCTTGATCTACGGGAGAAAAATTTGCATTCGTTTCCATGAGATATTTTGCTAATTGTAGCATGAGAAATTGTTAAATATATCCTTGATAGTGGCTTATTACTATATTTTATTCAAGCAGTGTAACAAGGTTCGATTATTGTAACAATTTTCTTATATCGATGCGATTGCTCTTGAAAAATTGACGACCCTCCTGGTCGGTTCCGTGTGCTCGTGAAATTGCATAGGTCGCTAGGTCGCGGGCAAAGTTCGTTTCTGCCATTCTGGCTCGTAAAACTGTTATCTTCTTTAATAGTCGGTGCTCTCTCTCCTCTCGTGCCATCTCGGTGCGTCTGATTTTTCGATAACAGCTGGTTGTCGTGCAGACACAGTCGTCACATTGCGGACTTAGACTATCTCGCGCAAGACGAGCGAAAGAGGGAAGAAGGGTAGGAGGGAGATAGAGATAGAGAAGGTAAAGGACACGAAGGAGGAGTCCGGCGTTCTGCCGATCCTAATTTACGGCCGGGATTTCAGGCGTTTATGTCTTTCCGATAAGGTCGTTCACGCAGATGCCAAGCCTGCACCGATGGATCTTCTTCATCCTCCGCCTCCCACTTCTTCTTACGTCCCCCCGTCGGGTTTCGCGTGTCGATAGAACGCGACGAAACGTCAGAGGGAAGTTCGTCTCGGCGTCGTTCGTCGTTAACGAGAGCTAGGTAGAATCTCGAGGTGTCGATTCGTCAATGATGCGCGCGATCGCATCGGACTTGGCGAAATTGCCAGCCATTCTTCCACGGTTTCGGGCCAGAGATGATATTGATCGACCGCCATCGACCCTCGCCGCAAAAGTCGCGTGTAAGATTTAACCGCTCCTGCATAATGAAGCGACGATCCGTTATTTCTCGGTAGGACGGCGCAGGTTACCGTACGAAGTACACAAATAAGAATC